TTCTCTCAACCATCTACCGCACCATCGGCACACGTCTAATACGATCGACAGGGCTGCAAACCCCCCGCCTCAAGCGCCTCGCAGAGATCGTCTCTCAACAAGCCATTGCGCAGCAAGAGAAGCTCGAGTTCGACGACGACATGCCCAACGGCCAGAGCAACGGCGACGCCATGCAGGCTCTCACCGGCGGCATGGGCATGAACGGCAACGGAATGAACGGCCACGGTACGATTGAAGAAGGAATTGAAGCATGAACTTTAGCATCTTTTGTCAGCACAGCGAGCGAAAATTTGGTATTAGACACATGAAACGACACGCGCGCACGAGAAAGACGACAACGCGAGGAAAGTAAGCGCCGCAGATGATGATGATGATGGGGAACTCTCCAATGTTTGTAAAGTTGTTAGGAGCAAAGCTGTGTCTTCTTCTTTCTGTCTTCTGGTCTAGTTGCTGGAACTTCTGGGAGGGATGGAAAGCGGGGGGGTGTTGCTTCGGAAATACTTACTTACTTTTCGTGGGGAGGATTCGGTGGGCGCGTATGACGCATGATGATGTTGGGTATTTAATGCTGGGGTTCTTTTGCGCGAATGATATATCTTTTTTAACTTTATTGGACGCGTGTGTTATGTGTGTGGCTGTGCGTGCGGTGTTGATGCGCCGAGGTGATCGAGGTCTGGTTGAACCATGTCCATCAAGGTGAACTGTTAGTATATCGGCGATCGTAAGCTCAATGCAATCCAGCCAAAGACCATGAACTGTTGTTAGTCGGAAGCAAGCTATCCACGACTGCAAGTGTGATAGCAGCTAGATGAGAAGGATATTCTTAAGGAAGGCAAGAGTCCGTGTCGCATATTGCTGCATACACATGACTGAACCTCGATGAGTGAACACACTCAAGTCCAATGTATACGTCTGGCTCAATGATAGGTATGTAGAACACAATACAAATAATCGTTATCTCTGGCAAAATGATCGTTACCTCTGGCAACATAATCGAGCAGACAAGCAGATCACGATACGAGAGACGGGGTTGGCAAGATGAATCTTATTTCTGGGGTTTTTCTATGGAAGGGGAAAGCAACCGGAAAATGATGGAAACTCTGAAACAGCATACACAAACGATCTAAGACTGGAGGCGAGTGGGGATTCAACGGAAGACATGAAGTGGATAGAGGGCAGCGGGGTGGGGAAAGGGGTGGAAGAAGAAAGGAAAATCTAGGGGGGTACATGAGCCAAAACCAACGCGAATAGCAAGAGAGAGCGATTACAAGGAGAGGGTGACAGGGAGGGGGAAGGCGATGAAAGGAAGCAACGCGACAAAAGAGATACAGATCTGAGAAAGAGGCCTCGGCGACGACGATGCCAGACAGGACCTCGGGAGCACCATGGATGGCTACGAATCGTGACGCAGACTTTTCGAGGTTGGAGTATACATCATCTTAGCAGGTGTTGACTTGCTAAGATTCCGTAGGATGTACACTGCAAACTGCGGCACGAGTTGTAGCCACTCGTAGGGGGGGAACGAAAGGAGCTCGAGACCGATGGCGATGGGCCCTTATCTTTTGAACAAGAATCCCGCCCCCATGCTCTTCTTCTTCTTCTTTACTGTCCGGTTCAACGAGCTGGGTCTGTTTTCGTCGTTGTTTTCGTCGTTGTTTTCGTCGTCGAGATTCTGGCATTGGCATGCAGCAGTTGCCTCGGCGCACTGCTGGTCCCAACCACATTGAGATACCCAGTCGTAGTTTTGCAGATGTTTGGAATATTCTGGGATGGTTGGGGTCAAGTGATTTGACAGTACATAGTACTGGAAATTGGCTTGGCAACGGTAACAACACTGCGTTGGTACCATTGATTTGTCGATGGCCAGCCCTTTGCATGCCAGTCGAGCTACCTCTCGCTGGTGAGCTGTATCAGATTGGAGTGTCGCAAGCACTTCCTGTCGGATGGGCACCCATTCTGGCGACTTGAGGGGGGGCACGGGTCCTTTGGCAGCTTCTTTACGCTCCTCCTGACGCTGACGATCGTTAACCCTTTTCACAGCCTCAACCCAGATTGCTCCCATGCCCTGATCCCTGACCGCTTTGTAAACGGTTTCGGCCCAGGCCCATTTTGTGCGTGCGTCCGGCCCAGTGAGAGGTGTGCTGGCTCCGATGATCCATTTGGTATTCCCCTTGGCATACTCATGCTGACATATGAAGAACATGGCGGGCTCCGCGCCGCTAGCGTGATCAATGGCGTGAGTGAAGTAGTTCGTCCAGATTCTTGGTCGTTTTCCTTCAACCATGAAACGGCCTAATTGAACATCAAGGCTTTTCCTGACTTCCGTCTCGGTGGTCCAGTTTTGCATAGTAGTTTGGGTCTGTGTGGTTGGGCTACCGAGTCGGGCCTGAACGGCGATCTCAAGCAAGAGCTCCTGGTTTGATCGAGTGGGCATGTCCCTTCTGGTTCGCAAAATGCTGAGCGGTTGGAGGTCCCAGTCCGATACTCTCTTGTTGTCAATAATCCACCGATGGTGTCGTTCGACTTCCATCTCTGCCGCGTCAATGGTTCTCATTGTAGACCTGATTGCATCTTCCCACGTCTCGCCTTGTTGCGTCGAGGGCAGTTCGTACTCAAAATGGCCAAGCTGTTCGTGTTTGAGTCGGTTGATCTCTTTCATATAAGCTTCGGGGGTGTCCAGAGCTTCCAAGTACAGAGTTGCCTCCAGTCCCATGGTAGTAAGATTATGTCGAACTTGGTCACTCTCGGGTGGAATGGGGGTTGTTGTCTTGGTTTTGCTCGGCTCTACAACAAAAGGCTCAACTTGTCTCTTCTGCGACGGCATAAGCCAATAGCTGGTGTCTCTCAAGCCAAACTGCTGTATTGTTATTAGCATCTGAATATCATTTTGATAAGAAGAGGAAACGTACCATGGTCATGACTTCAGGACCGAATTTGTTGATGTGATCGCGAATTTCCTTGATCGGCTCATAGCAAATCAGTTGAAGCTGGGTTAGATTAGAGTTGATGAACTGCATGGCTACAATTGTCTTCTTTTCGGGCCAGTCTTCGAGCTTCATTTGCAAACAGGTCCACCGTATCTGATCCGCTATTGCTGCGATTGCTAGGACTCTTTTCTTATGTTGCATTATCAATCCCTTGGGTGAAGTGGCCTTCTGCCAGGTTGTCGAAAGGTTGTCCCAATTCTTCGTAGCATAATGTCTGGGTCGGCGACCAGGGGACGATTTGGGAGCAGCGCTCTTTTCCGGATCGGGAGCCACCACCTCCATTCTCCTAAGTCAAGAGAAGTGTTGCGTCAAGTTGAGGAAAGGAATTCAAGTTGAGGAAAGGAATTCCTTGAGCGTAGTGATGAGTGAAGCTGTGAAGAACGGTTCTGGGTGTATAAATACGGAAAAATACGCTTGCTGGCCTCCATCATTTGACGTACCTCCATGCTCGTGACGGGGTTTCCCTGACCAGGTGCACAATCAAGCCATTTGGTAGAGCAAGCTGTTAACTAGCAAGCCCGATGTGATTTTACAACTCCTCCAGTTGCTTTGCTGCTCCCGTCTCCCAATGACGTTGTTCTCAAACTGCTGTTTGAGGCCGAACAAGAGATTAGAACAAGCAGCTTGGATTATACCGATAGTCATGCGGGATCATGAGTCTCATGCAGATGTCATGGATCTTGATCGTAATTATGATCTTCAACCAAACCGTCTTCTACAGGCTATTCCACGTGTATATTTTGCTGCGTACTAAGACTTCGCATTGATGGCCCGGACGAGATATCCTACTTCGGTGGCAGCAAAGGAGCATTGAGACTACATCCCCTCTCCTATGTTCGCACGAAGTGCACCACAATTGTGCGCAGCTCTTCACGGAAGCTTTGCCCGTCAAACATCCTGTCAAGCCGTCTATGTATTTCTCATCTACGCGTTTGTACTGTCGTATCTTGCACTTTGCCTGTATTGTGACTGCCAGGAATTGGTCTTTCATCGTTGTCGACGGTGGGATCTGTTTGTGTCATTCACAATGTTGGTAGCTCATAGCTTTGAAGATTGGATAGTACACCTAGACACTCCCGAGGTCCCGAGGTCTGGTCTGCATTCCAAGGTTCGCTTTCATGTGCATCGAAGGCGCAAGCTCTATGATTGCTATGCTCATCTAGCTTTCGTAGTTTATGCTTGCTGTCGAGCCTCATCCAGCACGGGGAGTAATTGCGGGTTGGGTCGCGCCGTCGCGGTCTAGACGTTGATGTCCTGAACGGGATCAGATTACCCGCGCAGTGCAGCGTTTGCTCAAGCCGAATGTCTCGGAAGCATGTTAACATGCGCTTGTGCCAATGACGTCTACCTTCTTCAAGTTGATTGGGCGGTGGTACAAACTGCAGCTGCCTGATCCCTGGACACACCCGTGGACCCTGGAAACTGCTGCCACCACCCAGTGGCAAGCCGCGTAGATACCGTCACATTCCAACGCGAAAGATCTCGATATACTGTTCGCACTCATATCACAATTGATGTCAGTCGGTCCACGGTTCCATTGCGCTCCGCACCGGACCGCACGTGTTGCCTAGGCGCCCCGAACCCCCATCTATCTAGCTGTTCCAAAGTTCATCTGAGTACATGGATGCTGAGCAAACAAGACCAAAATCGGTCTTGGTTCGACAATAACTCCTCGTGCTTGATGAACAGATTTCTGATATTACTAGCCAGTATGTGTACCTGCGGCAATCACGCGCAAGCTGAGTTGATTGACAAGTCATGCATAGTTCATGTGGAGGCAATCGTGGACATGCGCAGGACGCATCACTACAGATACAATCACGTCTTTTCATATCACTTATTAAAGGCGGTGAGTCAACGTTGGAATCCTTATTCGACGCTTTTCGGTTCACTTCACCCTGGTTTCCAGCTCGCTTAGCGCAAGTGCAACCATAACTATCTCTGCTCACAACCAAGGGAACTGTCCGCGTAACATCGTTTCTAAAGTCAACCCCTCACTCCACTGCACGAATCATGTCAGAGGCTCAGGCGAAAAAGAGCAAAATCACGAACGAGAAGCTTGGTGAACAATACAGGGATAAGGCTTTCTCTCCTCCCACTCACTACACTCTCGCAGAAGCTGTCAAATTTGCCAAAATTCGAAAGAGGATGTTCGCGAAGCGAGAGCAATCTCGATCAGACACAACCAAAGACCCCGAGGACACAACCAAAGCCCCCAAGGACACAACCAAAGCCCCCAAGGACGAGGAAGACGACAGCATTTACGCGAATGACGCCGATCTCCTCCGAGACCTACTGCCAACTGCGGTGGAACAAGAGAAGTTCTGGTTATGGGTACACACGGAGGACAAGTTGGCCCGAACAATGCCTGAAGCCAGAGGGGCCAAGAAATACTTCAACGCTCTCGCCCACACTGATTATTCCAACGAGTCATCTCTGAGAAAACTATTCGCAGTGCTCAAAGCATACGCCTATCCTTACATACCCGCCGGGTCTCACAACGGTTACCGCTATCGCATCAACCCGTCCCTGACCACACTAGGACCCGATGACGACCAAATCGACTTTGATGACCCATGCGACTTTGCCGCCGAGCCTATCATTGCCGTAAATCTGGTGGGAAAACAGATTAGATGCGAGGACGAAAGAGAGGACCGCAGCACTCTGGGAAATGACAGCACTGGATTCGTATGCTTCCAAATAGGAAAGCTCCTTGCAGCCGAAGAGGAATACTGGTCAGACAACGGCAAACTATCCAAGGACCAGGACGCCCCATGGACACCGACAGACTGGGTCATGGTCGTCGTTATCGATGCCGACAACACGGCCGGCGCTGTTTGGCTGCTACAGAACTTCGAGCCGACCATCGAGAACACGTCTGATCAGTACATGATCGACGAGGCGGATCCCTACCGATGGGGTTACTTCGAGGGCGAGTTACAGAAGAGTCCCCGGCCAATGCAATGTGGTGGTGTGAAGATCGCGCACAAGATCACTGACCTCTCCAAGACTTTTCAGTGGACCCAGGATGAGTATATTTTGGGCAAGTACGACATCTTGCAGGCAGTACTAGTGGAGCGTCACGGGGATGGGGCGCCTTTCATCGTCAGACAAATACCGGCTAGGCCACCATTCAACCCCCCTAGGCCATACAACCCCTTCCGGCTAAGCCGAGCCAAACAACCCCTACCGGCTAAGGCAGACGACTCGACGCCGGATGTCTCGGGGCTGAGCATTTGAGACGACTACTAGCGGATAAGAGATGCGAGATAGATACTCTTGGAAGAGTGAGCAGGCGGGCTTTCCATCTGTGTTTTGATCTTAGGTTTGAGTGTTGCAGGAGGTGGTGGTTTTCTTTGTTTCCTTTTGTTCTAGATCTCCTTTGGGTTACGAGTTTGTTCCTTGATTTCTTGCAATGCATGTCATAGAAAAGTCAATCAGTATGTTGCCGAAACCTTGGATATTGTTGCGCCGTGAGAGGAGCTAGCTTGGAAGGAGCCTGCTCCCAGTAATCATCATTCTGACGCACATGCCGGATACACTGAATGAAGACACCGTTACAGCGAGCAAACGTATATGAAGATGCCAACATGCGAAGTACGAGCAACAGCTCCACGGCCATCGGTCCTAACTGCGCCGAACCAGACGTTCGGGGGTGCGCCACACGGCCCGCTCGGTCTAACAGTCTAGCTCCATCCAGCCGCCGTTTGGCCCTTTCCACGATCCCGACATCCGTAATCATCTCGACAAGCGACACGGCCAAGCCATGGAGCTGACGACGTCTCTCCTCCTTTGCACGCCTTGCCCTCCCCTCTTCAGACTAGACTCCTAGACACGAGACAAATACCAACTTCCATTCACTCCCTTGGAACTCTCTTATTGCTTTTCCCACCCTATTGTCATCTCATACGTGGATGCATTGAGCGCGTTCTTCTAATCGATACCTGGCCCGACCGAGTCCCTGCATAACGCGAACGTAATACGAAATCCTACCACACAATCCGGCTACCCAATGCGCCCTTCCACGTTTCCCTAACTACGCGAAGACCCCCGAGAGCAGCCCACGCGACTGCGCCCACGTTGCTGCCACGGTGCAAGGACGAGGATAGTCCTAGGGGAAGATGCCGTCTGTTGCGCAATGGCAGGGCACACCCTCAGTCAAGGGCTCGACTGAGAGCATACGCATGGCGTTGCTCACAGCCTCGCTCATCGGCTTGCAGTAAATCTCCGCTTCCCACGAGTTCTACCTGCACCCTGTACTAAACACCATGCAGGTTCACGTGGAATGTCGAAATGACATACTGCACACCCTACCTCCTCGAACTCGGGCTTACGAAATCGAAGATATCCCTCGTATGGGTCGCCGGCCCGCTTTCAGGTCTCATAATGCAGCCTATCGTCGGTGTCGTCGCGGATCGATCTACCTCTCGCTGGGGCCGCCGGAGGCCGTTCATGTTCTTTGGTACAATACTTGTGGCCATGTTCTTGTTGCTGCTGGGCTGGACGAAAGAGGTGGTTCGGTACTTTATAAAAGATGAGGCTGCGGCTAAGAGCGCAACGATATACGTGGCGGTGTTTAGTATATACGGTATTGATTTCGCTATCAATGCCGTGCAGGGGAGTTGTAGAGGCTTGGTCGTCGATACGTTGCCAATTGCGAAACAGCAAATGGGCAGTAGTTGGGCGAGTAGGATGGTGGCGGTCGGGAGTCTGATTGGGTACGGGGCGGGAGCAATTGATCTGAAGAATGTGTTTGGACCTATGTTGGGAGATACACAGTTCAAGCAGTTGACGGGTGTTGCGGCGTTGACGCTCTGCTTGGCCATTGGGACAACGAGTTGGGCTGTCACCGAGAGAGTGCTCATTAATGATGGGGCGGAGGAGGGCAAGGAGCTGGATCTTAAGCAAGTTCTCGGTACTATCGCGCATACTGCTTTGAATCTGCCTAGAAGTATCCAGGCTATCTGCACAGTCCAGTTCTGGGCTTGGATTGGTATGTCATTATTATATTGTTTCTGTGATCAAGAGCTGACAGTGGCTAGGCTGGTTTCCTTTCCTCTTCTACAGCACCACGTGGGTTGGTGAAGTATACCTACGATACGACGCCCCAGCAGAAGTCAAAGCTGCGGGTGACCTCACAGGGAAGGTCGGCCGCATTGGTTCCATGGCCCTCATCGCCTTTTCCATCATTACATTCGTCATGTCTGTTCTCCTGCCTTTCTTCGTACAGAGCCCAGAAGAAGACGAAAAGGGTCCTGGCTTCTCTCGCCCACCTAAGCAGTTAACGGGACTGGCGAAATACAAACCAAGCCTGCTTACCGCGTGGACAACTGCGCATTGTATCTTTGCAGGAAGTATGGTCATGGCACCTTTTGTGAGAAGTTTGAGGCACGCAACCATCATCATTGCTTGCTGTGGCGTGTAAGTGACCACCATCATTACATCACGCATGAAGCCTGGATTAACACAACACAGATCATGGTCCGTCGCCTGCTGGGCTCCTTTCGCCTTCCTCGGCGTAGAAATCAACCGCCTCAATACCTCCACCTCGCACTCCGCCCACCCAAAGCGCACCTCTATCGACCTTCCCGAAGCGCAATCCAACCTCGAAAAGGGCAGCGCGCCTTCCTCCAGCGGCGGAGCAAGCTCAGGGCAATACCTCGGCATCATGAACCTGTATACCACGCTGCCTCAGTTCATGGGCACAGGGATATCGTGGGTAGTGTTTTCCATCCTGGAGCCCGGGAAAAGCCCGGAGTTGAGCGAGGCGCCGCCAGAGGAACACCACAAGACGGATGGCCCGAATGCGATTGCGGTTTGTCTGTTCATTGGGGCTTGTTCGGCGTGTATGGCCGTTGTGGCTACGAGGAGGTTGGGGAGGATACAGGGAAGACTGTAGAAGCATCATTGCCATGTCCATGTCAAAAGGTTCAGTTCTTGCTTGACGATTGCAACTGCTGGGAATAGTGTGTTTGCACAGGCCGCTAGTCGCCAGTAGAGAACATGACTCTTGGTGACATCCACCCCCAACATGCTGCCATCCGTGGTTGCCCAGGGGCGCTTTCCGCTTTTGAGTTTAGGCAAGCGCGATGGAGCCAGAGAGATTTTGCTAAGGGTTTGCTAAGGATTTTCCAGAGACCCGCTTTGTTCTAGAAGGCAGGTGTGGCTACTAATCGAAGCTGACGCTGATCGGACGTGTGTAGAGATCGTATTCGCTCCAGGGCGGCCGTGGCGGTATACAGCACCTACATTGTAAGTACGGTGTGCGCTGCAGTCGCCCACGACCGCGATAGTTCAATCGGGGCATTTTCCGGCCGGCTTTGGGCAGGTCGGAGGAAAAGGCTCGTCAACCAATGCACGCCAACCTAGGAAAAAACTAAACAGCCTAGAGTCTACTTTGATGTTGGGTCACCTACTTTGCAAGTTGTTGTCCTGATGTAGTCTGCAGACCTGTTCAGTTTTTTTCTTCTATGTGGTGAATGCAATGAAAAATATGCGCTCCCCATGTCCCCATGTCCCCTCTCCCAGTACCGGCGGGCAAGGTCGGCCGTGGCCACGGTGCAGGGCAGTCGACGTGGTAGACTACTGCGCGCACAAGCAAGTGAGGTATCGCCGCCAGATAAACTTGAATCGCCCGTCTAGGAGTACAGTGTCGGAGAGATGCAAGGCAGGGCACACGTGCCACGCCTCTGCCCAAAAGACGGTCAAGGTACAAATAGACACGCCGCCCGCCCCTCCCACGCGCACTGCATCTCTCCCCGTCCACGGCAGCGTCGACAGTCTTGTGTGGTCGCAGAGGCCTTGTTTGTTGCCGTCTCGCAGTGTCCGGTTGGAATTCGCACTAGGCGTGACTAGTGCCGTAGAGGGGCGACCTTGCCTTGCCCAGCGCCTGTTCTTCTCGCTCAGCCCGCCGAACAATTCTGCGGCTCACCCACAACATCCACCTTTTGCACCCCAACTCGCCACTCGCAGTCCGACATCACTCATTTGCCAAGATGTCTGAGCCGATCCGCAATAAGAAGATGGACTCCATCTCCGCCCCGTAAGTCGCTTCCCTCCCCTCCGCCACACAATTTTGGCCTCGCCCAAACACCACCATCACACACACCCAACATGGACGTACCACATTCTAACGTGCGCCCTGCCAGCACCCCCCAGAACACACCCGCCAATGCTGCGCCCATATCGTCGCGCGCCCAGCAGCCCGGCGTCAGCAGCATCAAGGAAGGTACGTCGCACTCTGCCACGCTCCTGCCCCTCCAACCCCGCCTTGTATTCTCGTGAAGGCCTTGACCGCTAACTCGCTTTTTCGCAGAGGAGCTAGAGCGCACTGCCGCCGGTCTCTTCGCTGCCAACCCCGCCCTCGTCGCCATGATGCAGAACAAGCTCGGCTCGCTCGTCGGCCGCTCCAGCGGCTACATTGAGTCGCTGCCTGCCTCGGTCCGCCGCCGTGTTGCCGGCCTCAAGGGCGTCCAGAAGGAGCACTCCAAGCTCGAGGCCGAGTTCCAAGAGGAGGTCCTGCAGCTCGAGAAGAAGTACTTCGCCAAGTTCACACCGCTATACCAGACCCGTGCCAAGATCGTCAACGGCGCCGAGGAGCCCTCAGAAGACCGCGTCAAGGTCGGCGAGCAGGTAGACGAGGACGACGAGGATGAGGACCAGCCCGAGGCTGAGCTCAACAAGGACGAGGGCAAGGACGTCAAGGGTATCCCAGAGTTCTGGCTCAGCGCCATGAAGAACCAGATCTCGCTCGCCGAGATGATCACAGACCGCGACGAGGCTGCTCTGAAGCACCTGACCGACATCCGCATGGAGTACCTCGACCGCCCCGGTTTCCGCCTTATCTTCGAATTCGAGGAGAACGAGTTCTTCACCAACAAGACCATCACCAAGACCTACTTCTACCAGGAGGAGAACGGCTACGGCGGCGACTTCATCTACGACCACGCCGAGGGTGACAAGGTCGACTGGAAGGCTGGCAAGGACCTGACCGTCCGCATCGAGAGCAAGAAGCAGAGGAACAAGAGTGAGCATCTTGACATCTGTCGGTATTTGACCACCAACTAACTTTCTCAGACACCAAGCAGACCCGCGTCGTTAAGAAGACCGTGCCTACAGAGTCGTTCTTCAACTTCTTCGACCCACCCAAGCCCCCACAAGACGACGACGACGCCACCTCCGATATCGAGGAGCGTCTCGAACTCGACTACCAGCTCGGTGAGGACATCAAGGAGAAGCTC